CTCTTCAGGTGCCTAGAGAATATGTCAGAAGACTTGGCAACATTAGGCCCTGTAGGATAAGTCTCCCTTTGCCTCTTTCCTTAAAGGATCCTGAGTGTTATTAGAGAGGCAATTAGGATGCTGCAATTGTTGACCTGGAGCCACTTGCTAGATAATGGCCTTCACCAATTCCTTCAATTATCTGAGTTTCAGGTTTCTCACATAAAACCGAGAGTAGTCACTGCTGAGCTAACTTCTCCAGACATTGTTCTGAGGACCCAATGGCTAGTGATGCCTTTGTTAAACTCTGGTGAGATGACTTTAGGGACATGTGGAGGGCAGTCATAGCTGGCCTCCACAAAAATCTGGCCAACTTCTTGTTCTGCCTTAGCTTTACCTAAGAAGTTTCTACTGAAATAGAAAATTCTGCTGTTGGGCCTCCCTGGTGGCTCAGGCGCTTGAGCGCAGTGCTATGAAGCTGTCTGCAGCCTCTGCAGCACGGGTTTGATTCCAGCCAGCCAGCGAGAATCCCACATGGCGTGGCAGACATTTCCTGTCTCGCCCGCTGCTCCCCTCAGCAGTGTGTTTCGTCAGTCTGCCTGTTCTGTTCCCTGCTCTGTCTCTGGTGAATGCTCTCACCCTCCCGTGCCTCTGGCCTGTACCCCAGCACTTGTATAAATAAAAAATAAATCTTTAAAAAAAAAAGAAAAGAAAAAGAAACTTCTGCTGTTTCTACTGAAATAGAAAATTCATAGAAAATAAAGACTGATTCTTAGATAGATATCTCTTCCCAGGTTCCTATCTGTAATTGAGCCTCTTTTCTTATATCAGGTGGGGTGTGTGTGTGTGGAGTTTTATACTATGGGTACTGCAGGCCTTCACAGTTCCTTCTTGCTTCTATGAACTCACTATTACCTTCAATGCTCTACCTAATTCTACCTATCTAAATCTGATACATCTTTCAACCCCCAGTACAAGAACATTCTCTCCTTCCTGATGTTTTCTGACTCATCTCAGATGGATGCAATTTTTCCCTTCTTTAAACCCCTGGGGCTTCACATGTGTTAATACAATAGCTATGCCCTAACAATACCCTAACATACACAAAATTCATTACTTATTCTCCTGCTACATTTCACATTCCCAGGGCAGGCAACAAATGAGTGATTTTTGGCATGTTCTTGCTATAGGGGAAATAGAACTTGGTATATAAATATTTGTTTAATTCAGTTGAAAGAAAACAAATGAAAGATATGCAGTGGTGGTGCCCTTAATAACAGGAAGAGACATGGTTGCCCATAATCAGAAATAAAGAGGGGGCCTCCCTCGTGACACAGGGGTTAAAGTCTCAGCGCTATCAAGCTATTATCAGCCACTGCAGCCAGAGTTCGATCCCTGGCCAGGGAGATAACCAACATGGCATAGCAGACCTCTCCTATCTCACCTGCTGCTCCCCTCAGCAGTGTATTTCAGTAGTTTTGTCTGTTCTGTTCCCCACTCTGTCTCTGGTGAATCCTCTCACCCCCTGCACCTCTGGCCTACACCGCAGGCTTTGAATGCATAAGTAAATAAATTAATTAAATAAATCTTTTAAAAATCTTTTAAAAAATAAGAAATAGAGAAATGAAGAGTCTGTGATTTTCTAACCAGATTGTTCTCTATTATTATGAATTTTTCATCTTCATTTGATAAACTACTTCCCTCCCTCATGTTAATATGATAATTCTATAAATGGAATAGTACAAACAGAAGTCTAAGCTCAATCCTATGCCTCAGTCTACTCAGAGGTAAATTATTCTTGTAGAATTTTACAATTCATAGCAGGGGCCACAAATATTAACTACAACCAGTGACCCCTGTGTTTAGATTATGGCTGGAGCTGTCACTGAGCCACATCCTCTCTGAGAGACAGTCCATATACCCAAGATAAGGTGTCAAGAGGCCCTAGAGTCAGAAAAGTTGTTTGGCAAAGTGTCTGTGTCTTTTGTCATGTATTCTCGGAGTTGGTGAGTTCCTTTCTCCAGGGTCAGAATAGTTTTGTTCCAAAAACAAAACTGATACCAGGAAATGCTTGTGGTTATCTCTCCAACTGTGAGCGAGTTACTTCCCATCTCTGCCCCTCCCCCCCGAAAGGGGGGGATTGAAATAACTCTTATATGTCCAGATAGAGCTCTGATATTCCAGAACTCTATTCTGGTCTGGCCGCTGGCTAAATTCCTGGGGCTTCAGGCTACTGACCTTCCCTCCCCTGCTTCTAAAGACGGATGTGGTTCAGATTTTCCCATGGGTCCAGCAGGGCAAGACCTTACCTGATTGCTGGAAGAGGGTGGCTCTGCAGGTGATGACTGTTCATCTGCAATCACAAAAAGATCCTTAAGCCTGAAATTACAATGAGGAAGCTTACTTATCACAGAACTTCATTAGATCTCCCCCAATATAAATTATTTCTGAATAGTTTCACTGGAAAGTGTGCATGCTACAGGTACTGTAGTGCCCAAGAGACCTTGAGAATGACCAATAACAGGAAGGAAACTTCTGTTTCCAGAAGTGTTCATGCTCAAGGCATGACTATTCATTGGTTATTGATTTTGTATTACATGATTATAGACCACAGACAAGTTCAAGCCCATCAAGCTCTTCAGTAACAATATGTGTTGAAATTCCTGCTCACTGACTTCTCTTCTAATTGGTTTATTTAATGCATGGATATGAAGACTTGTCAGAAAACCAGTAGATTAAAATTAAAGGGGAGCCTAGAACTCACTTAAACCACTGTTTTACCAGCTGGATAACAAAGAGCTAGAGAGTGGATCCCCATAAAGCAGCTTATCAAGTGTCAAGAATAGGGCCAGGACTTCCAAATGCCAGGTGCATACACCTGACATTATTCCAAAGCAGAGGTCACAAAGATAATGCATTTCAGTTCATGCTGTCACTCACAGAATAATCCTTTTCCCAGACCCTTACTTTAAAACTACTTTGTCTTCTTTTTACTAAATTCTAACAAAAGTACCTTAACTGGTTTCTATTTTACAACATATTTAAGTTAATAGGCTGACATAAAGACAGGAAATAAAGTGTTACACAGAGAATACCTACAAATTGCCAAGGCATTATATTTGGGAGATGTTCAATGCAGGATGAGCAATATCACACAACCAACATCCTCAAGATGGTCGAAGTTTATATCCCTTTCCCTGGATAACCAAGAAATGTTAGCATGTTTTACCCAAAAGAGCAGGGATTTGTAGAAAGCAATTTTAAAGCATTACACCTAAAAAAAAAAACAAACAAACAAACAAAAAAACCCTTTTACTTATAGGTAGATGAAACTTCAGCTATCTGGAAAACTCAACTAACCAAAATCAGCCAGCTGTGATATTCAAGGAAGTGACATTTCAGCTGGGCGTAGATAGGCGTGTTCTACAGAAATAAGCTGGTGTGAGTTCGGCTAGTATCTGCAGACAAGAGGAATAAATAACAAAGCCATGATCTCATCTTCTGTTTACACTTCAGTTTCCAAAGTTAGTGATTAATTGTCCTTGTATTTTGTTGCCAGGGCAAATTGTTTTTCTTTAAAACTCCCACTTATTTTAAATAAATAAATCATTAGTTTCAAAACAGAAGTGTCAAATGTCAAGATACTTCTGACATACTAAGCTAATGAACAAAACAGTGAATTCATTAGAAGCTACTACAGATAGGCTTTGAGAACTTCCCATTAATGGTTTTGAAAGGCAGCAGAAATCATTCTTCTTGGTAAGAGATTTTCTCATGCATCTGGGTTAAAATATCACCAGAGGGTTGCAAACACAAATACCAGCTTAAAGCAATCAGGCTAGGTGTAAGATAATAAAATAGCCAGTAGCTCACATATTGGTTATCAAATAAATATACCAACCAGCTTCATCTTGTGCTTCCCAAACCAAACTCACACAAAATAATCTATAGACAACCATTTATATCTTTGCTTTGGTCTTTGAATTTACACAGGCCATTTTTGTTCTTCCAATGTAGGGAATTCTTTTAGCAACTCTGCAATTTTGCACTGAGTTTTAACACAAACACACAGAATATTATTTCTGCATGATTTTAGCAGTTTCTGAATCAAGACTACCTACTCAATATAGTCCTGATTATATGTTCCTGGACTTCCTTGTTCAAAAGTTTTCATTGTCTTCCTTTAATCACAGAACTAAGAATCAGTTCTTGTTATTAAGGCACTCAAGGTCAATCATAATCTAGTTTCAACCTATCCTTCTTAGTACATCTCCTGCTACAATCCCCAAAGACTCCCTGCTTTCTCACTGTCTCATAATGGGTCTTGCACTTTTAGCCCTTGATAACAAATATTTATTGGGTAACTGCTATGAGCCAGGTCCTGTTCTGTGCCCTAAAGACATGTCTATAAACAAAACAAAGTCTCACTCTCCTGCAGCTTACATTCTAATGGGAATTTCCACCTCCTCTGAGTATATCCCCGCAACTACGTTCCTGCCAAAGCACCTTTCACACAGGCTAAACTGTGTATGTCCATTTCCCTGTCTCTGAATACTGCCTCCTTGTGCACTATGCCTTGTTCACTTCTCATCACTCCTATTCCATGTCTTGATTAACAGCAGCGTATACTGAAACTCAATGTATTACTTTTGTTGTATATAACATTTATTTTCTTTGCAAATGTAGTCAATTCCTACAGAATATGGAATATATAGAATCTATCTGTGAAGTTGTCTAACTTTTTACCATAGAGTTATTTTCAACAAATAAGTCATTTGGTTGTTAACAGAAATGACAAATGTCAGGCTTCTTCTGATGGACCTAAACAAGATAAATGAACTAGTTAATTCACCAATAAGGCAACTTTCCTCAAATCTCAGATTCCCTGTTCCCCTTTCTCAGGGTTTTCCCAGTTTCCTGGTCATCTCATGGCTAACCCCTTTTTCTTTTCTCCTGGACACCATCAGAGAAACTAATTTGGGAAACTGCTCATCTCCTTCCCTTTCTTTTTGACCCCAAAGGTAGAAACTGAAGACCAGGTTCTGGCAACCTTCTGTGGCAAGGAGGCCACGGACACAGAGCAGACCCCAGGCCAGGAAGTTGTCCTCTCCCCTGGTGCCTTTATGTCTGTCACTTTCCGATCAGATTTCTCCAATGAGGAGCGATTCACAGGCTTTGATGCCCACTACATGGCTGTGGGTAAGTTGGGCGACGGGGTAGCTCATCCCCACCTGTCTCTTTCATCTATAAAAATTAAAATTGCCTTGTGCTCTCTTCTTCATAGTGAACATCTGTGTGCTCACCACATAATTTTGCCATTAATCTCTTACTGCATTTGCTCACTCATAATTATACAGCTATCTGTCATCTATTCCATACCTCTTCTTTTTTTGATGCATTTCAAAGTAAATTGCAGACATCAGTACGCCGCTTCTTAAATATTTTAGTGTGCACATCACTTTGTAAAGTTCAGTATCTGTTCACATTTTAATGTAATTTTGCATATAATGAAATGTGTAAATCTTACGCACATTTGTTTTCAGAAAGTTATGTTCATGTGTAACCCAAACTCTTATGTTGAACTTTACCAAAAACCTAGAAAGTTCCTTCCTGTTCCTTCCTAGTTGAATCTTACTCTCATCTCCATTAAAGGAAATGACAGTTATGATTTTTTTTCTATCACAGGTTAGTTTTGCTTCTACTTTCCACCATAGATTTGTTTTGCCTCTACTAAAACTTCATATAAATGAGCACACAAAGAATATATTTCAGTGGAGAAGATTCTTTTACTCAACCTAAGGTTTGTGAGATCCAGATATGTTGCAATACATCCATGATTTGTTCCTTTTCCTGGAAGAGCAATTTTGCACTGTATGACTATACTACAATTTGTTTATTCTCCCATTGATGGATGTGTGGGCTCTAACTACTCTCTCACTAATCAAGTTTCTACGAACTCTCACATATTTTTGTGAATATATGTTTTCACTTCTACTGGGTTAAAATCTAGGAGCTGAATTACTGGTAAGTACATGTTAAGGTTTATGAAAATGCCAGACCTTTTCCAAAGTGCTTGCACCATTTTATATACTCTGCGAGAGCTCTGCCTGTCCCTTAGCCCCACCAATATATGGTGCTGTCAATTTTTACATTTTTAACTACTCTGGTGGGCATATAGTGGTACCTCATTATAGTTTTAATTTGCATTTCCCTGTAACTAGTCATGTTGAGTATCTTTTCATGTGCTTGTTGGTCATTCAAATTTCTTTTTTGGGAAATATCTGTTCGAATTTTTTAATGGGGTTGAGAACATACATCTTTTTACCTTTATATTTCCAAGGCCTAGGACAGGGCTTGCCCCACATTAGGGACTTAGAAAGAGAGAGGCAGCAAGGAGGAGTTAAGAGCCTATGCTCTGGAGCTAGTCCTTGGATTTACATGGTAACTCCAACGCTTACTCCCTGCGTGACTTGGAGGAAGTCCTTTAATGCCTCTAAGTTAGCTTCATTGCCTGTAGAATGGGAATGATTAAGGTCCTGCTTGCTGTTATTCTAACTTCAGAGGCTACCACATTACCAAGAGTCAGGTTGCCTGGGTTTGAACCTAATGTTCTCTGTGACCATGGGTAAATTACCCACCTCCTCTGAGTTGCAGTTTCCTCATTTGTAAGTGGAGATAATGGCGACTTCTAAGGTTTGTGTGAGAAGTAACAAGGAACTGCGTGCACCTCCCAGCACAGTGAGCATGTCCGCAGAGCAGTCAGCACTGGCTGACTGACTGACTGAGGAGCTCTACTGCCCTGCAGATGTGGACGAATGCACGGAGCAGGAGGACGAGGAGCTGGCCTGCGACCATTACTGCCACAACTACATCGGGGGCTACTACTGCTCCTGCCGCTTTGGCTACATCCTCCACACCGACAACAGGACCTGCCGAGGTAGGACCTGGAGTGGGGCTCCGCATGTGACCCTTCAGCACCATATTTCCCAAAAAGATTAGGGGAGGCTCAAAGGAAGGACAGATGCACAATAGGAACAACATAAAGTGAAGTCAGATAGCTGTGCCTCCAAAACCACGTGGATGAAGATGCTGAAATGCCCACCAGCGTCTGATTCTCAAAGGACCACATTTGAGAAGCCCTAGCTTCCAGGCCACCTTTCTACCTGGGCAGCCAGATATTTCTGCTCTGGAGTCCCTCTCGCCTCTGCTACTGTAAGTAATAGGCCGAGCCAATGCCAGGGAAAACCTGGTTTCTCACTCCTCTTCCCCAGAGCCATGAAGTCAGAGATAGTTTCTTTTCCTCTTTTCTTCCATGGTCTCTTAGGTTCTTCTGTGATAGAAGAACTACAGCTCAGGGTCTCCCTGGTGGCCTAGGGGTTAAGTCTCAATGCTATCATTGTTATTGACTGAGTTCCATCCCTGGCCAGGGAGGTGACCCACATGGCACAGCAGACCTCTCCTGTCTTGCCCGCTGCTCCCCTCAGCAGTGTATTTCAGTCAATCTGCCTGTTCTGCTCCCCGCTCTGTCTCTGGTGAATCTTCTCACCCCTTGCAACTCTGACCTACACCCCCGTTCTTCTATGCAAAGAAAATAGAAATATTAAAATTTTTGTTAAAAATAAAGAAAAAAAAGAACTACAGTTCAAAGGAGAGAAACGGGAGTCAGGAGGCTAAGACAGAGAGCACTGGGGGCGACTCATTCCTTCTCTCTGCTTTCATCTCTCACCAATGTGCCTACTTTCCTGCCTTCTCAGGGTGGGGTCAGGGATGGAGAAATAGAAGGATTCACCTAACTTTCCATGAGAAGCTCCCGTGAGTGGGGTCATAGTCACATAAGCCAATGGTGAGATGGAGCGATGCTTTGCAGGAAGAGTGACACAGCACAGCCAGACTTGTGTTGCCTGGAAACAAACATGGCAAACACTTCCCAGAGACAGTGATCCTTGACAGAAATGAGAGAAAAAGGAAAAGGGGTGCATTCCGGCAGGGGAACAGCTCCTGCAGACATTCAGAGGCACGATGGATATGGAATGCCTGGGAATTAGCAGGAGCTTAGCTTGACCGCAGAGTGAGGATCTGTGTTTTAGAAAAATCACTTGGAAGCTGGATGAAGGATCTTGGGCAGAGGACAAGGTTGAAAACAAGAATTCTTTTCTTTCCTTCTTCAATAACTTCTGCTCACTTCCGAATAAAACCCCTATACGACCCATCAGTGTAAAGCAGCTACACACAGGAGTTTTCTGGAAGCAGGTGTTATTTCCTATGCTTTTCATTCGGTAAATATTTATTGAATATCTACTAAGGTTAATTATGATCTTAACTCTAGGTTAAGAGCAAGCAAGTTTCTCAATCTCTTTTTATTATCATCTACGTCCCCAGGAACCTTCTTAAGCATTATCTTTCTAATTACCCCAACCATGGATTTTTACTGCTGCAGATATGCTGTGAATAGGCCTATGTAGTGTATGTCTGTCTGTGTGTTCAAGCAAAAAGAGTAACACTCTTCTCCCAGAGAACCACTTTTAGTCCCCTTGGGTGATGTCACCCACACAAGCATGCTGGAGCTGGGATAGAAAATTAAAACTTGGGGATTCAAAAAACCTCTATCTAAACCTCCTTCTGCAGCTCATAGTTTTGAGACTCCAAGTTAGTCACCCCCTCTCCAGAGCCACAAATCTCTCACGTGCAAATGAGCACAATGAACAATGACTTAAAAAGGACTGACAGCCCAGATCTAGGATGGGACAGCTCAGGATGACGGTTCAGTGGAAAATAAAGGGATATTGGTGAAGCTCATCCCTGACCAGGACCCCAGGACCCTGGACTCTTCTTGGCTGAGGAAAATGCAGTAGGAAACAAAGCAGAATCCTCAGACTCATGTAATATTGGCTAGTGGGGGCAAGAATATCCACAAACTAATGTGTTACAGCATGTTCGGTGGTGGTCAGTGTCAGGAAAAACAGAAAGCCAGACCAGAGAGAGTGCGTTTGTGAGGGTTTGTGTGAGTCGAGGGTCAGGGAAGGCTTTGCACAGAGACCCAATGGAGCTCTGGACTGAAGAGTAAGCAAAAAAATGGGGTCCAGGGCATCCCTGGTGGCGCAGCAGTTGAGCACTGGGCTGCGAAGCTGGCTGCGAAGCTGTCTGCAGCCTTTGCAGCACCGGTTCGATCCCCAGCCACCGGTGAGGGTCCCACGTGGCACGCAGACCTCTCCTGCCAACCCTGCTCCCCTCAGCAGTGTACTTTGTCAGTCTGGCTGTTCTGTTCCCTGCTCTGACTCTGGTGAATTCTCTCACCCTCCCGTGCTTCTGACTGTACCCAGTGCCTGCATAAATTAAAAAAAAAAGTTCCTTAGGAAAAAAATGGGGTTCAAACTTTCCCTGCCTCAGAATCCTTCTCAGACCCTTCTTGCCCCCCACCAATACCAGAGAATCCCATGGAAAGCATTATCACCCTCCTAGCCTTTGAGTCTTGACTGCAAACTACTAAATGTGTGACCTTGGAAAACTCACTTCCCCTGGTTCAGCTTCACTTTCCCCATATGCAAAATGGGGATAATGTGGGCCTCCCTGGTGGCACAAGGGGTTAAGACACAGCACTATGAAGCTATCCACAGCCACTGCAGTACAAGTTCAATCCCTAGCCAGGGAGCTACCCACATGGTGCAGCAGACCTCTCCTGTCTTGCCTGCTACTCCCCTCAGCAGTGTATTTCAGTAGATCCACCTGTTCTGCTCCCCACTCTGTCTCTGGTGAATCCTCTCACCCCCCACATCTCTGGCCTGCACCCCAGCTCTTGTATGCATAAATAAATAAATCTTTTTTAAAAATGGGGATAATGACTGCTCCCTGCTCACTCCTCAGGAGCACCACTGGGAAGATGGTGCCTTAAGAAGGGGGTCGCTGTGGTCATGGTGGTGTGCGCCACCTCACTCCTGTATGTTTCCCACAGTGGAGTGCAGTGACAACCTGTTCACGCAGAGGACCGGTGTCATCACCAGCCCTGACTTCCCCAACCCTTACCCTAAGAGCTCCGAATGCTTCTACACAATCGAGCTGGAGGAGGGTTTCAGGGTCAGCCTGCAGTTTGAGGACATTTTCGACATTGAGGACCATCCTGAGGTGCCCTGCCCCTATGACTACATCAAGGTAAACATGCAATGGACACGTGCTCTGGTGAGGCTGAAACATCTTGGCTGAATTGGGAAAACTGATAGTCATGGCTCTCATCCTTCTCACCAGGACAAGGGGTCATGCAGTTTCTTTCCCCAAAAGTAATTATTTAAAATAACATCTATCACTTTAACCAGTTCCAACCTAGGTTCTCTCCTGATCCAACCCTAGTCCCTTAGTCACCTGCAAATCCCTTTTGTCATGTAATATCACATCATCACGACATAGCGCCAGGCCATCTTAGAACGCTGCCAGCCACGCACAGGAGCCCAGGAAAGTGCTAAGAGCTTTATCCTGCACTGAACTTCTCAGGGCTTCACTTTTCCCCTCCTTACAGCAAAGGTGGCGGGATGAAGATGTCACCCAGGATTGTCCAAGTCACCATCTCTCTCCGTCCTCAGAGATGGAAAGAAAAAGAGTAAAAGGCAGGGCCCAGAACTGGGAGAAGGGAGGTCTGGATCAGCTGAGAGGGCTGTTCCCTTCCCTCCATTGCTGCTCCATTCTAGTCCTAACCTGTTATCTCCTGGTCAACTGCAAGTCTTCCTAGCTGGTATTCTTGCTTCTATTTTTACCCTGTAAAATCTAATCTCCCATTGTATGGGGGCTGATCTTTATAAAAGCCAGATTCAATCAAGAGTGCACTAACTTTCTCAAGACATGTGCTATGGCCCGTGCCATAGCTCTCCCTTTTTTCTACCCACACTGGTTTCCTGTTTTTAAAACTTGACGAATTCCTTCCCGCTGTTGGTTGGTCCTAGCTCTTAGATATATTGTTTTCTCTGCTGGGAAGTTATTTCTCCTTTTCAATGACAAATTCTTATTCATCCTATATGGCTCAAATCCAGTGCACCTCCTCCAAGAAGGCTTCCTTGACCACCTTTTGAAAGTTATTATCTATATTATTGTCTGTTGCATATGTGATGCATGATACAGGTTACATAGATTTTATTACAGAGATTAAAAACATAGCACGTACTTATATTCCATATGTATATCACCCTGTGCTGTTTATAACCCTATAGTTATTTTGTCTATTATTTAATGGTAGTATTCCCCAACTGGAATGTATGTCCTTTAAGAGCATACATCCTAGCCTGCACACGTGGACAGGAGTCAGCCTAAGCCATAAGATGTTGTTCATCTCTAAGCAGAGTAATAGCCTACCATGTCCACTTCCAGGGCCACTGCATTTTAGAAATGGGATGGCAGAGATGATGCTGTTTGGTTAATGGTAACACATGGTAAAAATGCCAGTGAACACCATGGGGTCTATATGGAGGCTTCCCAAAGTACTCCGGCCCTGCAACACCCACTGCTGCTCAGATAGGGTCCTTCTTCTCTATCTTGCCTCTTGCAGATTCAAGCAGGTTCAAAAATGTGGGGGCCATACTGTGGAGAGAAAGCGCCAGAGCTCATCAATACTCAAAGCCACAGCATCCAGATCATGTTCCGCAGCGACAACTCAGGCGAGAACCGGGGCTGGAGGCTCTCGTACAGGGCGACAGGTACTGTGACCTCCCCCTTCCTGGGTCCTGCTTGAAGGACAAGGGATGTAAGCCTGGGGCTTTCCTGCGGAGGTTTGGGGGGTTCCCGGCAATGCCACTGGGATTAAGGCATACTCTCCTTTGTGACTAGTTTCCCATTTATAAAATGGGGTTAAGGACAGCAGAGGTAGCGTATTTGACTAGATTGGTAGTGCTCAAAACGAGCTACCCTTTAGAATCATATGGGGGGATTTTTCTTTAACCTGGTTTTCTGAACTCCACCCCTTTGCCCCGCTGGTCACTAGGCTTGGGCAGGACCCTCGAGCCCCAGGCTTCTCCACACTGCGGCTGGAATCTGGATGTAGGCCTAGAGTACAGAATGCTTCATTACGGTGGTTGACCCCCAGAGACTGTAGAGGAAAGCCCACAGATCTCAAGGCAACTAGGGCTGACCCAAACCCTGACAGAGCCATGTGACTCAAGGGGTCTGCAGAAACTGCAGGAAGAAGAGGCAGGGCTCAGGAACAGGACCACAGCTGGATGTGACTCATGCAGTTTATAGACTGAATTCCTGGCCCTGCCTATGGTATCACATTCAGGGCCCAGTGCTGGGAAGAGGAGTGAAAATGCTGTTTACAAAGACGTTTGTCGCAGAAAAAAACATCGAAGTTGAGACCAGATCTGGGAATCCTGTCAGGTGCAGCCTTTTGAAGAAGTCTGTCAGAGACATAGACATGGTCACAGTCTCTAACACTTTGAAGATTAGTCCTGGGAAGAAAGAGTGATAGGGGGAGGGAGAAACAAGTGGGAGGAGTCCATCCTGATGGCCCAAGATGGCAAACTATGCCAGATGAGCAAAAATTACAGGGGCACAAATTTCTATTGAATGTGGACACACTCTTCTTTAATCATAGGAGTCATGTGGAAGGCTCAGCCTGGGAGGTATCAGAGCTCCCTGTCACAGTAGGAATGCAAATAAATATTTGGCCTTTACTCTGGAGGATGTTGTAAAAGAGTGCATCAGACAACGGTTGGCCTCAATGACATTTAATTTCCTCTCCAGCCGTGAGTTTTGATGAAATCTAGTCAACTACCTCATTTTACAAATGAGGAAATGGAGGTTCAAGTTGGAACGTGACCTGCTCAAGTTTCCAGAGTGAATCTTCTCCAGGATCTAGAAGGTCCAGACTTCCCGATACCTATTTTCTGTGGTTTTCCTACCGCCATCAAACCTTGGGTCTTGGAGCCAGCAAACTTGCTGTCAGGCTTTTCCAGCAGGTTTTTCCCTGACTGCCCCTCCATTGCTCCCCACCAGGGAATGAGTGCCCAGAGTTACAGGCTCCTGTCCATGGGAAGATTGAGCCCTTGCAAGACAAGTATTCCTTCAAAGACCAGGTGCTCATCAGCTGTGACACTGGCTACAAAGTGCTGAAGGTACAGGCCCTCCCTTGGGGGTTGGGATGGGAGTGGGGGGGTGGGGCGGGCAACTCACCAGAGAAGCTCTCCAGAGCCTCCCAAAGCAGATGGGCTTCATTTTATCATGGTCCCACAGAGCATTTCACAGCTCCGCATAAACCTCCAAAATACTCCAGAAATTCCAGGCTTCTGAACATCTAAAGCATGGGTCCAAGACTCTCCTTCTGGAAATAGCATGAGAATCTCTTTTATCAGAGCATGGGCTGGTTGAACAACCTTGCAAAACTGTCAAGCTTACTTTAGGGAAACTGGGATGGGATGCAGAGATCTCAAAGGTGGCAGGCGGGCACTTTTCACCCTCCTATCCTCTGAAACAGTGGTGCTCCCAGAATCAAGGCCATATCTGAGATCAGTCAAAAGTCTGTCACCTGGGTGAGTCCAATGTGCAGTCAAGCCAGAGAACCACCGCTCTCAAGAAATGGTTCTGCACATGGGGCCCGGGACCACAGCACCATCTACTGGGAATGCATATTCTGGCAGGCCAGACCCACCAAGTCAGAAACTCTGGGGCAGGGTACAAACCGGAGATGCTGATGCTCAGCCACATTTGAGAAGTACTGCTCTGAAAAAGAAGTGAAGTGTATAGATTTCCTTCCCTTCCAAGGCAGTTGCTCATGACCTGTGCCTCTCTCCAGAGTTCCGTGGGGAATATGAATTCAGTTTCTCCCTTTCCCTTCTCTCCAAACTCACTTTGGCAACCCATGGGTAAACATCTCAGTCAAGGACAGTCAAGCTTGGAGTTTGATTTAGTTTTACTGGGAAACAAAACAACCACCAATCTGTTCTCCCCACCTCTCCTTCATGTTTCTTCCTAGGACAAGGTGGAGATGGACACCTTCCAGATGGAGTGCCTGAAGGATGGAACCTGGAGTAGCAAGGTCCCCACCTGTAAAAGTAAGAAAATAAAATCAGTTGATTGCAGGGATAACGAGCTCCCCAGCACAGGGGGAGACCATGCAAGGGGGAAATTTTGGCAGGTGCGTTGATGGGAGCTGAAACTCAATAGACACATGACTGTTGGACCAAAAAGGCTACTAATGCCCCTTTAGAAATCAGGCTTGAGGATTCTAAAAGAAACTTTTTATTGGTCCCAGCTTACTTTCTAGATACTCATTTTATGTCTACTGCAGACAGGTTGACAAATTTGCTAAAGGCATAGTACGGCTCCAGGCTGGAAACTAGCTCTGACGATTGCTAATTCAGGAAATTATTTTGCACCTGTGCTCAGAGCCAGTGACTTTGCCACCTCTCTGTGGCTATCAGCCTTATCCCTGGAGTCCTCTAGAGCAACTCCTGTTCAGGGCTGTGCAGCAAGGGCTTGAGGTCAGCCAAGGGGACATGTCTTAAGCAGGAACACATGACTGCACTGGCTTTTGGGATCCAGAGATCTTGACTTAACTCTGCTCCTAATACAGTGGCCATGAACAATATCCTTCACTGCCACGGTAAAATGCAGAATTAGGAGGAACCTGAATATTCTCAATTGTATCTCAGTGGTTCTGAAATAATGCCATACATATAAATCATGTAGAGAGCTAAGTGAAAATACAAATCGCCAGCCACCACTTCCTCCCCCACCCAGTGATTTCTAGAGCAAGATTTACAAGGACCACAATTTTAGGAAACTTATCTGTGGCAACAGTGATGAGAGGAAGCATAGCGACAGAAAGAGGGAAGGAAAGAGAGAATGGGGGAAGATTTGCTTTCAGAAGAAGTGAGTAGTCAAGAAGTAGGGTTGGTCCCAGCCGCCCTCATCCCCTGAGTTCACATAAACTGTGGAGTGCTGTCCGGGTCCCTTCTCCTCCGTGGCCAGTGCCTAGAAGGCAGGCAGGTCCTCCCAGGGTCCCAAGGGAGGCACTCTCAGGGGGAGTTGGGTCTCCCTGAGGCAAATCTCAGGCCATTTGGAGCAGAATGTGCTTGTTTTTTCAGTTTTCTTTTATAGGATGATGTGGCTGGAGTCAGAACCCAGGGAGGGAAGGGGCGGAGGAGGGACTGCATTTTATGACTTGAACAAAAAGTTTCCCAAACTTTTACTAGATGCCTGTGCAGAGAGGTCTATAGGGAATTCAGCTGGAAAAGACATAGTCCAGACATCAAAGAACTTAAATGCCAGCCAACACATCTGCCACCTCCGCCCACACGGGGCTCATGTGCAGTGTGGTGACTGAGTTCCACTGAGGCACTCTCCAGGGCAAAGCAAGGGTGCCCTCAGGGAGGACAGCAGGAGGGCAGGATGTGGCTTGGCAGCCAGGAAGTTCTATATTCAAATCCAGACTGGACCCATACAGGGACCCAAAGCAATTTGCTCAGATGATTTTGGCCTCAGGTCCTGAATTCTAGATTGTTCTGAGGGCTGAGTTAATAATGTGCATCTCATACCTTGGAGCACCAGAAATAAGGAAAAGCTCAACTAAAGCTATTTCTTCCCGTAACTCAACCTTCTCACTAGGAAAAGTTTCGCTTCTCTCTTTCATGCTTTTGGAAAGTAGGAAATGCTAATAATATTTTTTTCCCTTGATGAAACATAGGTGCTTTTCATTATAACAGATGTGTTGGTAGAGTAAGTAACAGCATTTGATGGTATCATTTTGTGTGACTTATGTTTGCATACAAAAGAATACCCCATCGTTCCATACTAAAGAGGAATTTTTTCCCCCTATTAGGAAGTAGTTCTCCGATTGTAGTCTCAACTAAAGTCTTACTAGACAAACTTGACATCTCTGCCTGTTCACTGAGCAGATATTTATGAGCATCTCTCCATCCCAGGCATGTGCTAGGTCTCAGCGGAGATGTGAAGTTGAACAAGGCTGAGAAGATGCGAGTCTCCCCTGCCTCCAGAGATGGGGGAAAAGTGTTGGGAGTATACAAAAAAATGTGTGTACAGTGATGAAATGAGCACTGGAATGAGAAGTGGAAATCTGGAATGTCCTGACCCTGTCTCCACCTTGCTGTGGTGATCTGAACAAGTCCTGCTTCTGCAAAATGAGGATTTGGGACAGATAGATGCAAAGCTTTTTCCAGGGCCAGAATGATACACATAATCCTCAATAGCTAGGATTTATGACAGTGCAAATTCTCAGGCTGGTACCAATTCTGCAACCCAAACTGTCCTTCATACTGGCTGTACCCTTAACTGTGCCTCCTAATCAATTCTGATGAAATGATTTCTGTATTTCCTGCATGACTGTTTCTGCTTTGCTGGCTAATTTTTCTCTTTCTCTTCTTTCTTTCTCTCTCTCCCTCTCTCTGCATCCTTTCTCTGTATCTCCTGATCCCTCTTTGATCTTCACCATGGTTGCAGAAACAGAAATGGATGTGGAGAGCGAACTCAAGTCAGAGCAAGTGACAGAGTGAATGACGGGACCCCACACAGTGCAGACATCCAAGAATGGACTCCCCACAAGGGCCTGGGGCCCCAGAGCTACTCCACCCCTCCCTGCCCCACCAACTCTCCATATCCTGGTTTAGTGTGGATTAGAATGGGTGCTGCACAAGGCGACACAGTCTCAAGCAGTTGAAACTGCTGGGTGTATGAGAACAATTCTCTATTTGTGGGTTTGCCTATCATTCAAGCTTTCTCTGGAAAATGATGAAAAGACAATGGGGCATTTTATTTTTTAACACCTCTAAGTGGATTGTACTGCTCTCAATGGAAAATAGCATTGGTCTGAGAGACTCAGATTTAATATACAGTCCCATGGTTTTATGCTGACCAGGTCAAAGTGGACCTGCTCTCTACTCCACTCCATACTTCAATTTTTAAGTGGGCCAAAATGCCTGTAACTTTATGACTTCAATATTTTTACCTGTCACCAGTTTGGTAATAGCCATGAGTAGGTGAAATTAATAACTCATATAGCATGGATTTTAAGGAAATATAGACATGTTCTCCCACTACAAAGTTTCCCTTCCACTTATACCCAACCCAAGGTTGACATTCCATCAGCAGAGGCTCTTTCCTCTGAGGCTTACAAATTTCTGAAAATTCACTAATTAAAGTTTTTGAAAAGCCAGGTATCGCAATTGAAAACATCAGTGCTCAGTTCTGGTACCCTTGGACATCACTGGGTCAAAAATAGTGATAAAGGAAGGGCTGTGAGGTGGCAGCCTGCATGCTGGGTATCTCAGCTTCTGCCTGGAAAACACCTGGACATTTGTGTTGGAGAACGCAGGCACTGAATCCACCGTGACTACTCTGATAGCTGAGTGACCTTTAGATGAGGGCAGCATCCCACAAGGGTGGACAGGGAGCACTGTGGGGGCAGAGGTGCCCTCCTAGGGCAGGAGTGCCTTTAGGAGGGGAGACGAGGCCACCACTAATGACAAGAGTGAGTTGAATCAATTTCGCTAAGCATGCAAGTATAACGGCTAAAGGAATCATAATTTAGGTAGAAAACTTGATATGGACACAAACAATTGCACTGTCAGGTGACCTAAGATACCTGCATCAGAGAGAGAAAGGAGGAAGCAAGGAGAAATGAGGAAACAGCGCTACCCTCACAGAAGAATGAGAAAAGGCTCTCAAGAAGAAGCAATGTTTGAGCAAAACCTCGAGGGTGGCAGTGGCAGGAGCAGGGACCACAGGGCCTGTGTGGGCGAGGCAGCAGGGAGACAGCAGCACCGTGAGGGAAGGACAGCTCACCAGGGGAAGGATGAAGACAAAGCGTTGAGGAGGGAGAGCATCCCTGGAGCCTTAATGTTAGGGTGAGCCAATTGCACGCAATTCTCTAGGAGGCCCAAACTGTGGCAAAGCATGCACAGGACAGCAGGTTGAGAGATGTGTCTGAAGGAAAGCAAACAGCAGCTGGGTGACAATGGAGTCGAGGTGTGGAGAAGCACAATGAGAAATGGTGGCCCAGGGTTGATCCCAGAGCATGGATGTGACCTGGGGGAGCTTTAGATGGAAGGATGAGAGAATTTCTAAAACACAGGAGGAACATTACCTGATCAAGCAGGGTCTGAACACAATATCTTGGAATGTGCCAGTCAGAGCTGCTCAAAAGCCCCAGAGTAGGGAAATTTCCTCGAATTTCCTAAAGACATGGGTTTGGCCAGCACTGTAGACTAGGGCAGAGGTGCACCACTCCCCCACTCACCTAACCCACACTCAGTGACCTGTTTCCCACTGTTATCACCTCCTCTGTTTGGTTGTAGGGCCAGTTTTATTAGTAGACAAGGTTATTTTTCTAGAGTGAAGTGAAAGCTGACCCTCCATCCAGAAAATATCCCCTCCCCCCAGTGCTGGCCATAGAATGGACTCTCCATAGCCTGGTCTGCTGGCCATGTCTGAGACCAAGCCTGGAATTCTTTCATCTGGAGCTAGGAACGAGGTCTGCAGATACCTAGAGCAAAATAAACTGCCAGACCAAAATTACAGGAGACAAGAGCAATACCAAGATCCTGCACCAATCAATGGCATTTCCTTAAAAAGGAAGAAAAATCTGCTTTGTCTTTTACTGGGAAAATACATTTAAAACTGCTTATAGCTTTAAATAATAAATATCGTCACCTCTTGTTACCTAGTGCTGACCCTCACATGCTTTCCTGAGAGAGTCTCCCTTCCGATGATCAAAACAAATGGGAAAGATTTGTAGAGGGTTTTGGAGGTCAGGACAAACATGAACCAGGTCTTGGCCTTCACCTTCCTTTTGGTAAGAGCTAACTCATTTACTCCCATCCTCCATGCCTCTCCTCCACCCGGAAGGGCTTGGAGTTCTCTAGATTTTAAGTTAGAAAACTCTCTTTTTCAATTAAAAAGATGAATATGGAATTCTAAAGTTAAAAACATAATTCTGAGCACCACCCGAGAGGTAAACATCCCCCTCTCTGTTTCCCAAGGAGGAGGGAAAATCTGGAAACTCTTCCAGGGCTTTGCATGTGGTTCTCTACGACTATTGGAAGATTGACAGCTGGTGTCCGCCATGACCCAGCTAATAATGATTATAGGCTAATTTAACTAGAAAACAGACCCTTAACAATTGTTGGTTTGGTTTACTTAAAAGAACACTGAGTTTAAGGTCAAGTCTAGTTCTCTGACAGTAATTCCCTGTGATCTTAAACTAATTACATCTCCTCTCTAGACTCTGTACAGAAGATATTCGAGATTGCCTACCTCTGTTGTTGAACTGAAGGCACAAAGCCAAAAACCATGCCAGCAGTTTTTGAGAAAAGAGCCAGTCGAATGTGAGGTCACCTGGCAGGAGGCTGAAGGCAAGGCTCTCAAATCAGTATCCCCAAGGACGGGGCTTTGGGCATATTTATGGGGTCAAAGAACAACTATAGAAAATGCAGGTTGGTAGTGTCTGATTGGTTGCTTTCTGATAAATCAAGCATAACTCGAATTTGGATCCAGAACTGCAACATGCTGAGCAGCACTGGCTTCTGAATGTTGTCCCTCTAGCCATGAGGCGGGCACCTTAGTCCCATCTTCCAAGGCTGTGTTTAGTCCAAGGAACGAGATGCCACCCAAGGAGAGTAAACACTGTTCTGGGACTGCACTCTGAATACAACTTGTCAACTTACGGAAGATTGGGATTTTTCTTTCCTTATGTAAAATGAGTTGGGGTATTTTTGCAAGCCCATCGTTGCAAGCCCATCCTGCTGTTCTTACATGATAAGCAGAAATAGCAGATGACCAGTATGACCAACACAGTTTCACATTCAGGTTCCTTTCCAATGGTGAAGTCCTACGAATCCTCTATGACTCTTTAACTCTGCCATAGGCTGTTAGACTTACAATTAGAATTTCTTTGGAGATGAACACTACCCCTAACAGAAGCCCCAAATGGAGACTGATAAATTGGCTCCCCAGTCTCTGATCTGGCTCATGGCAGATGCATGCAGGACTCTGTCAGTGTCAGCAACTCCCCTTAGACCTGTCTGGACTGGGAAACTCCCCCAAAGCCATCTCTGAAGAACAGGCAACTTTGGTCTTATCCTACAGCCAGCACCAATGTCCCGTCATCAACAATTGGAAAAAATGAGCAGGTAAAGACTAAAACCTGGTTCACCCTGGACCCTGCCTCCTTCCTTCTGTGGCCAAGGGAGTTGCCTGCACAGTCGATGGGGTGGGGCTGGACTTACGAAAGAACCAGCTTCCTTTTGTTTGTTTTTGCTTTTGTTTTCCATGCCAAGCTCCAGTGTGAGCATATTAACTGTCCTTACTCACTTAGCATGTGGTTGGGTCTGGAAGAACTAAAGAGTTTTTACTTCATATCAGCCAGAATTTTCTTATTGAACCAGGACTTCATGCTTGAGCAGAGATTAGGAAGGTTGCACAACAAAAGGGGAAGTTAAGGAACGAGCCTTTTGGGGAAGAGCCTGGGTCTGCTTGGCTCTCAGCAGATGTGCCCCTGTCCTGGAACTGACACAGGGCCAGGTGTGTTGCACCCAGTAGCACCTTTGTGGATGGGCCACCCAAAAGCAGGGTCCCTGATGACCACTCAGCTTGTACCTGCACAAGCCCTCTGGCACATTCTCAGACTATAGCATTGCGCTCTGAGGTTTTGTGCCACGCAAAACTGCACATCCCCCCAAGAGAGACCCACCAAACAGCACCAGAAGAAGTGCAAAGAGTAATCCATCGTCTCACTCTTGTTTCTTTCAGTTGCAGACTGTGGCGTACCGCCAGAGCTGGAACATGGTCTGGTCACCTTCTCGTCCAGGAACAACCTTACTACATACAAATCTGAGATCAGATACTCCTGCCAGAAGCCCTACTACAAGATGCTTCACAACATCACAGGTGAACCCCTCCATGCTAAGCCAGTCCACTCTGGCCTCACGCCCTCCAATTCAGGGTTGGTCAGAATGCTGTAACAACCTGTCTGCTGGCCACAGTCTGGGAGGAATTGAGAGGAGAAACAATTGGAGACATGTCTCACTCCAAGAGTTAGGCCTTGTGGCAGCTCAACATCCTAACATACACTCACAGCCCCAGCACAGAAGGAATGCCTGGGGAGATGGGAAGGCTGACAGCTCTGACTCTGCTACAGAGTGACACTAAAAAAATTGCCCTATTTTTCTAAGCCTCCAAATCCTCATTTGTCAAATAGTAGCGAACAGTGATAGTGTTCAAGAGCTATTATAAGATCCCAGGAGAAGGTGCAGTCTGTTAAGTGATGATGAGGAAGCCCCAGTTGGAACCCAAGCAGGACAGTTAGGAGGAAACAGCCCATGTGGGAAATAGAAAATACCTCCATACTGAAGAGTGTAGAGTTTGTTTTTAAGAGCAATGGATGTCATTGGTTATTTTGAGCAGGGGAAGGCCATGATCAGATTCCCATTTTAGAAAGATCCTTTAGTTTCCACAGGGGACTCAAAGAGAGTGGCTTCAGAGACCATTCAGTCTTGTCATCACCCACAATAGAGTATTAAGAACCCAGATCTGTTTTCTGTGTGCCTCAAACCAACCATTGTCTCCTTCTCCAATCATTTTTAACTCTCCCAGGCATATATGCATGTTCTGCCCAAGGAGTCTGGATGAATGAAGTGCTGGGAAGAAGCCGGCCCACCTGCCTGCCAGGTACCTCACCCTCCAGTCCTTTTCCTCAAGGACTACCTTTCAAGGCCTTTGGGCTGTGAATGCCCAATGGATTAGTAGGGTGGGGGATGACATTTTGATTGATCATCAGGGGTCAAAGGTCAGAGACACCTAAGCTCACACTTTAAACCAACCAACCTCGATATCCAGCCTGTTTTATATGGCTCAGAGTTCCTGTGTCTCCTCTCTCTGAAGTTCTGCCTCCTCCCCACCAGGTTTTCACCCAACACAGCATATGTGTGTGCACCTGCTGTGTGCCAGGGAAATCAATTAGACACCTTGTACTCAAGCTCTCCCTTTTCTGAAGGGAGAATGAATGACAGACCAATAAGAAATAATTATAACACAGAGTAAGAAGTTCTTCTAAAGAGCAATGTGTTGAAGTTTTTCTGATTGCTGCCTCCAAGTGTCTCACCTACTGACCTGACTTTAAAATGGAGAGAGAATTTTGTGGCAATAGGAAGTGTCACTGTGCATACAGATTGGGGAATATTTTGTGGACATTTACTTTAGCATCAAAGGTATTGATGATTTGCATTGCAATCACAGTGCGAACATATATTCAAATTCACTAGTGAGAACATGATAGCCCTCAAAATGCACGATGTACGCTCAAACAAATAATCAACAAAAAATAATTTATTTTCTTCATGACATAGAACTTTACTTTTAAAAAAAGTAAGAATTATAACCAATATTGAATAGTAGTCAAAGATAAAACCATCAAGACATTTGAAGTATTGAGTAGCATCTTCATATTACTGAATTTGAATGTTAGGGAAGCTGAGATACTATATTTTTGAATGGTACATTTTAGTAGCCTTCAATATTTGCTCATTAAGCTTCTAGATGTTAGATTACAAAGGAAAGACCATGGTGTTGTCAACTATTAATCTTTAAGAACTGAAAAAACTATTAGCATAAAGTTTTAGTTTTGGCCATCACAGGTGCTTCAGGATCTCAGAGAAAGAAGAAGTCACTGCACATGATTGTCTGGGAGTAGAGGGATGAAGACTGGTTAGGAAGACTTCATTTAGGAGGACTGTATGCCTGAGAAAGGACTCATGGGAGATAGAACCAGGAGAGGTCAAACCATCCACATTTTGTAAATGCCTTTATCACTATTAGGCTTTGCTGGTTGCACAGCCACAGACTATAATTAATGAAGTCTAAGAGAAGATGGGAAATGGTGGTGCTGTGGCAAACTACAGGTTCAAGTCCACATTTCACTAGAATACAAAGAAAACACTCTGCAAGTGTGTTCCATCCTGGGTGTTCATATTGCAAAGGGAAGATGTTCTAGAAGGGAAAGATGCACTGAGCTGTAGTCAGGGGTCTGGCTCCTTGACCTCATGTTGCCACTTCCTGACTGATCTTTGGTAAGTAATCTCGCCTCTCTGGGGCTATGAGTCCAGACCTCAGAAATGAGGGAGCAAGACCATGTGGTCTGTGACATTCTATGACTCTTTTTTTTTTTTTTTTTTTTTGACATTCTATGACTCTTAATAACCACTGCACTCTATACTTATCCAATGCATCTCTGATACAATGAATCATGAAACTCTTATAACACCTGGTGCTAGGAAAAACCAAGCCAGAGACTTCAAATTCTGACCTCTAAAGCTCTGAGATTAAACCCAGAATGGAGAAAGACATTTCATGTAGCAACACAATGTCTACCTTTCCAGAAACCGGGGAAGCAAATATTATTTATCCCCTTATTTTACACATAAGGAACCCAAGGATCAATGAAGTATAATGATTTGTCCAAGGACAACCAGAGGAAATTAGGGGCAGAGCTGGGAGGGGAAACCAAGAATTCCTGTCAACACAAGCTATGCCGAGCCATTCTTGACTCTGATTTTGTTGCATGCCTCTCTCATGAACCCAGACTTCCAGATATCAAATTTTGTTTTAAGGGCCTTTGCTCATTTGGACTCTTCTGGAGTCCAAATCCAACTTCAGTGCAGCTGAGGTTCTGGTGTTTTGAGAAGATTCTTTTGTGCCAAGAAAGACCAGATAAGAATGGTAGTAGGCAAAAAGAATGGTTCCATTTCAATGAGCTCTCTCAAAGACTTGTTGCATCATTCAACTTCTTAAAAGGACAAGAGCATTTCAAGAAGAAAAATAGACTTCAGTAGAGAAAAGGAAGCTGGAGTCAGAAGAAACAGGCTCCACCTCTGGCTCTGTTACCAATGACTTTCAGAAACTCACTTGCCTTCTCTGACCCTTGGTTTTCCCATCTGTAAATTAGCTGTTGTACAAGCTTCCCCATCTCGGACATCCTGAGAGCTGGCATCTTGGTTGGAGAAAGGCACAGTTCAATGCTGGCTTTGTTGTGATCATAGATTCTATCACAGAAATGTCCCCCATGAGGGCATTTCTGTATGAAATAAGTTGTTAAACAGTCACACACACCTGCCTTGAGATGTCACTGGTTACTTAAAACTTGAAGTCTGTCCTTTGAATATGAAAGGCCAGGTCACAGAGAGTTAGCAAAGGCCAGCTCAAGTCTGGCCTGGTATAAATGACAGGGTGCCTCAGAATCAAAAAAGAAGCATGTGGCATCAAAAAGAAGAGCCTCTGAAAAGCATGAGGTTGCTGAAATCCTATCCTCCCAAAGTTGCCCAAAGACTCAAATGCTCCTTGGTCTAGAGGATTACTGAAAGCTTCTCAGAGCCAAGGAGTATAGCCTGGCCATTGTAATCAAGGGAAGGCCCATGCTCACACCAGGCTTACCTCCCTGGTCTAAGAACCCTGCCTGGGAAGGCCATGTGTGAGCTTGTTTTTAGCCAGCAGGGGCAGGTACTGAAGACCCTCTGCTCCTGGGCCAGAGGATTTGGCTCCAGGAGGCTTGGTGGTGCATGTGCATGCTCGGGGTACCACTCGGTGGAACGAAGTTTGCTCAGACCTTTCTTCTTCCCCTGAAGGTATACAGGACTCCTGGGTGCAATGATGGGTGGCTCAAGGCAGAGCCCATGCATCATTGCTGGTAGATTATGCCACCTTTTTATGACATTGGATAGTCTGGGCATCTATTCCTTTAGGTGGAAGAATAAAAGGTTAGCTACCACGTAGTGATGGTCATTATAAGGACCTTGTGGGATGTCACTTGTGGAATGACAGGTTATTGCTGTCAGAATCTAGCTAAGCTGATGTTTAATTGCCATGTTTACTTGGCCTAGTTGTTTAACCTCTCTTAGTCTAATCTGTTAATGTTTTACTCACCTATAAATGAAGGTGACTAGGGCAAATGAAATGAAAATAGTAGGAATTTGGAATTTCAAGGATCCTTCAACATCATCCTCAACACCAGCTGTTTCATTTAGTAGATCAAAAATTGAAATCCAGAGAAAGAAATGAACTCACTCACAGTCATAGAAGAAATAGGAAAGAAAAGTCAGGTCAAGGTCTCAGACATCTTGGTTCACAGTTCAGGTTAGCTGTGACCTGCTAGACAGCCTTTTAGGTTCCCTCATTCTCTCAAAGCCCATGATCTATGGCCTTCAAAAGTTTTCTTAGTGCCTGTAGCATGGACCACTTCTGGGATATGAGATGGCTTTCAAGGGAAGAAGGAGGAGACATGGCCACTGCTAGAGGGAGTCTTGGCCTAAAGATGGTCCAAATCAAAGTGATCTTGGCTGGAAATGGTCTGGGATGGTAGGATGGTACAAGGCCGAGAACAGCATGGTCTGTCCTGCAGAGGTCCCCAGCTATAGAATGGTGACTAGAAGGACATGGGGCAACAAAGACCTGCACAAAGCTCTCACAGGTCAGCAAGGCCCAGGCCGAGTAGGGTCTTATGGTGGCATAATCTACAGTGGGTGAGATGTTGAATTTCTCTTGATGTGTCTTTTCACATGGCTGAGCTGACCAATCTCTGTCTTTTGTCCCCGCCCCTTGCAGTGTGTGGTCAGCCCTCCCGCTCCCTACCAAACCTGGTCAAGCGGATCATCGGGGGCCGGAATGCAGAGCCTGGCCTCTTCCCATGGCAGGCCCTGATAGTGGTGGAAGACACCTCGAGGGTGCCAAACGACAAGTGGTTTGGAAGTGGAGCCTTGCTCTCCGAGTCCTGGATTCTCACAGCAGCCCATGTGCTGCGCTCCCAGCGCAGAGACAACACCGTGACGCCGGTCTCCAGGGAGCACGTCACCGTCTACCTGGGCCTGCATGATGTGCGGGACAAATCAGGAGCTGTCAACAGTTCAGCGGCACGAGTTGTTCTCCACCCTGACTTCAACATCCAGAACTACAACAACGACATAGCGCTGGTGCAACTGCGGGAGCCCGTGCCCCTGGGGTCTCACGTCATGCCCGTGTGCCTGCCGATCCCTGAGCTGGAAGGCCCTGCGCCCCACATGCTGGGCCTGGTGGCTGGCTGGGGCATCTCCAATCCCAACGTAACGGTGGACGAGATAATCAGTAGTGGCACGCGGACCTTGTCAGACATCCTACAGTACGTCAAGTTACCAGTGGTGCCCCACGCAGAGTGCAAAACCAGCTATGAGTCCCGCTCGGGCAACTACAGTGTCACAGAGAACATGTTCTGCGCCGGGTATTACGAGGGTGGCAAGGACACGTGCCTTGGAGATAGTGGTGGGGCCTTTGTCATCCTCGATGACTTGAGCCAGCGCTGGGTAGCCCAAGGCTTGGTGTCTTGGGGGGGGCCTGAAGAATGTGGCAGCAAGCAGGTCTACGGGGTGTACACGAAGGTCTCCAACTATGTGGACTGGGTGTGGGAGCAGATGGGCTCCCCACAAGGTCTCGGGGAGCTCCAGGTTGAACGGTGAGCTGACAGACTTCCTCAAGGCCTGCCTGCCCTGCCCCAGCCCGTCAGGCTGCACCACACACTTCCAACAGCACACTCCATGTTACCCACCAGGCCCAAAGGAATGGAACACACCGCTCCCATCTGCCAGAGACAGCCCCCCGGGACCCTGAGAGGCAGTTGTGTGGTAAAGGGAAAAGGGTCTCAAGAAGAAACTGGCCCAGGGCCCTGTACGTTCTTTTTCCTCTCCTGGCCTCACTGTTCCCAACAGTACAGTGAGGAAGCTAGACCTCCTGGCCAATGGTAGGTCCTGTCTGCCATGCTCCCCCCATGGCCTTGCTTCACTCCGTTCACTTATCACTCCCATTGGTTACCACTGTTGGTACAGCTGAACTTGGACCTAATTATTAGAAAGTATTTCCTCACATTGAGCTGGATTCTAACTCCATTTATTTTCCCAGCTCTGCCCTCTGGGCCCAGATAAGTGCAGGCCTTCTAGGAGAAAAGCACTCATGTTTCAGGAGACAGAGATAATACCCAGAAGCCCCTCTCTCCTAGTGTAAAAGTCTTATCGTGATGTTTCTCTCCCAAAAGCTTCTTGGAGCTTATTCCTTACATTCTCTATTAAAGGAAGTCCAAAGGACAAAGAGAACGCTGGGGAAACAGGGGAAGAGTATAGCAGTGGGAGGCTCCCCAACCCCTTTAAATTTCTACTGTCAACTTAGAACATGTCACTTGGGTTCACATGTCACTGTTGAATAGCAGCTGACAACACAGGCAGCTGACAACCTGCCTCTCCAAGTGAGCTCAAAGCCTTGAAACATATAATCTGGAAAGGCTACCTGAGCCCCAGCTCCAGATGTGGCAACTCCACAGAACTGCTTGCAGTAGGCCCACACTGGAATGCACCGCGCTTCTGGGCAGAAAATGGAAGAAGAATAAACTTAGGACATTAGGAGTAACTGATCCTGCAGGCTGCCCGGCATGTCTGCAGAGAACCACACAGCATGGGTGCTCAGAAGGATCCACCCCACCAATTTCTTGAAGCCAGAGTCAAAGGAAGCAGAGACTCATCCATGAAATCAATGAAGAGACAAAGAGCTCCAAGTCCTGAGAGCTGGTCCAAACTCTGCCCTCTACTGGCTGCATAACCCTTGACAAGTCACTTTCCCTTTCTGGACTTCAGTCTCCCATATGTAAAAGAAAGGCATTATACCCCTTCAGAGTCCTTCCTACTCCAGCGCTCAGTACTTCCACTGCCAGCAACCTCTCCCTGGCCTTCCCCAGGGCTGAGCATCCTCCTTCTCCTTGGAGCTCTAGCTCCTGGGGATTCTCTATTATAGAAAGGCAGTCGGAGAAGCCCCTCCGACAGATTCTGAAGGAACGATTAGGAAGTGCCCACTTTTCCAATTGGCTCATCAAAGTACACTCCTATGTCAGTGAATGGTGCATATAGAGGATGCTGTATTTTGTATATTTTATATCACAAGCTTCACTACTCTGTAAAGTGCCTCTGCACTCTGTTTCTTTTATCAGGGGTATAAAGTGGAAATAAACCCTCTATGGATAATCAATAGCCTTCATGTGGGTTTGGTTATTGCTGTTTGTATATTTTGACGTTTCGAAGAGAGATAAAGTCAAAATCTCTCGGGCCTCCCCGGTGGCACAGCAGGTTAAGCACAGCACTGTGAAGCTGTCTGCAGCCTCTGCAGCACGGGTTCAGTTCTCGGCCGGCCAGGGAGAATCCCACATGGCGTGGCAGACCTCTCCTGTCTTGCCCTCTGCTCCCCTCAGCAGTGCTTTCCGTCCACCTGCCTGTTCTGCTCCCCACTCTGTCTCTGGTGGGTCCTCTCACCTTCCTGCGCCTTTGGCCTGTACCCCAGCTATTGTATAAATAAAAAATAAAATTAAAAAAAAAGTCAAAATCTCCCTTACAGTACAACTTCGTCATCTGGATATCTCCAAGGTGATGAGGCATGGAGTTGTTTATGGACATGTTTCCACTTAGAACTGCATATTCCTACACTGAAGTGCCACCATTTAAGTCCTTGACTTTAAGGAGTTCAAACTACAACGCAAGGCAAGGCCATGTGCATCCAGGTCTTATCCAAGCAAAAGGAGTTAAACGTCAATGAGGAATAGAAATTACAGTATCATGCAAATTTATAGGAGGGAGGGATGCAGACCCCTGAAAGAGATCTGCATAGTTTCCAGAGAGGTTCTGAAGAATGCACTGGGAAATGAGAGGAAGATTCAGAGCCGGCAAAGACCAAAGCAGGGAAGCCCCTGGTGACTGGAGTGGGGGCAGTGAGAATTGAGGGAGAGAACAGTGTCTTGGAAGTCATTTTCTGTTTGCAGTCTGCCCTGTAACCAGTGATTCTCTAATTTGGGGATATAGCAAACTCACCTCTGGTGCTTATTACACATGCAGATTCCTGGGTCACCCACATGGGAATTTCTGAATCAGCAAGTCTGTAAAAAGTGGAGGACAGGGTGACTGAGCTTGGGAAAACATTTAGGAAGCTGCTCTGCGCCCATTCTGAAGAGAGATGGTAAAAACCCACCAAATTTTGGTTATGACAGTGCAGATATGGGGGTGATTAAATAGTGTAATGGGCAGGACTTGGGGTATCACATCATGTACAATGGTGCAGGCACTGCAAAATATGTTAACGAAGGATCTCTGTGGGAGGCACTCATGGTTTGTCTTTGCTTTTGGCTTGTAACCTAATGAAAGCATCATTTATTTACATGATTGAGAACTAACAGAAACATTTTGTGCTTTATACTGTCTATGTAGCTGGCTTCAAGCATTGTCATGTGTTTTCAGATTTTCACTTTCCTCCAGATAGTATGTTGTGGCATACTAAGTAAGCCACACTGAGCAGTGGAAGGCACAGTGTTGCATGGAGAGCTCGATGTAACATGGAACAGAGGAGGCACCCTCTGCTTCTCCTGGTGTTTGTTCTTGTTTTTTGCCTTCCCAGCTTAGTGACTGATTCAATATGGGGGTTGAAGAAAGGGAGGCAACCAGAATGTGGTCTATGCAGGCATTAACAGACAACTGGAATGATGAAGGGGAGAAGGTTGGTAAAGGGCAGAGACCAGGGCCTGGTTTTGCTGTGCTTGAAGAGTCTGAGTAATCCAGCTAAAGATGGAAGGAAGGAATAAGCAAGGAAGGACTACTTCAGAGAAGGCAGATTAGAAACACTGATGGCAAATTCATCAGGGTGTAGGTGGTTTGGCGGCCTGGGAGGAGACAGTGAGCTCTGCTGGGAGTTTGCAGAGAAGAAAAGTGTGGACGGCAAGGAGAGCAGAGAAACTCTGAGAAAGAGACAAAAATGAGAGATCAGAAGCATAGGAAAAGAAGGACTTCAGAAGCGCAGGAGGCTCTTCGATCTCTCGGGACAGGGACCCAGACTCTGCTGTGGACTCTGAGACACAATCCAGGCAGCAGTCACTCTGCTTGTATTTAAAGTCCCTAGCCCTTCCCTATCTTTCACCAGTGTCTGTCTGTCTCTCTCTCTTCCCAGGTTTCGCCTACATTTTTATCTCTTTCCTGTGGGGGAAACCACCCTAACAAATCTACTTCTCTGTGACTTATAGTCTGAATTATATGTTTATATCTCTGGGGTTAACTTCCTTGAAATCTTCACATCTCTCATTATTACCGTAAAGGTTGACTTTTCAATGAAAATCTGTATTTCCAGACTGTTTTCTGCTTTGCTCTTCAAAAGTCAAAGTTGTGTCGAGCCTCACTTCACCAGTAGATGTCCCAGCTTCATGTCCGACTCCACATTCCATACTATGCTGATGTTCCACTGAGGCCCAGAGTCATTGTGTCTCCACCTGTGGTCGTGGGTATCCAGAATATTCCAAGGGCCACTTGGTGTCCAAGTCTCTTCAGAAAAACTTTCTTTTTTCAAAGAAGGGAAGAGGAAAAGATGTGGAGACTAAGTATCAGCTTCTTTTCCCAGAACTTAGACTATGGAAGGGAAGAGAGGAAGAGACTGTGGAATAAATGGAAGCAGGGAAAGTGGAAGTTTGACTTTAGGAAGAAAAGGCTGGACCATAACTTGGAGGCATAGGCGAAGGACAGATGGAAGATAACAGGGGAGGGGCCAGAATCGGAAGTCAGGCCCCCAGGTGAGTGAGGCGATCCAGATCCCAGAGTGGGTTCTGAAGAGAAGATAGTTTTCAGCGAGAGCAGATGGAAAGGAGGCTGGTCAGGGTGTCCCCACCCAGTGGCCTCTGAGGATCTGCTGGGTGTGAGGGCAGCCGGCTGAGAGCGCACAGAATGACGACTAGGAGGGACCATCAGGTACCTGTGCAGTCACCTATGACTTTCCCCAGGGTGCCCAGTGGGCTGGTGACAGCGGCAATACAGGCAGTGACTGCTGGGATCCAGGGGCTCGGACTGCGAGTACCCTGAGAAGTCATGGAGGTCAGTGAGTAGTGCTGGCCAGGGGAGGAGCCCAGAGTTGGAAGCTGGACACCTAGTCTTGCCACTAACTCATAAATTAACTTTTGTCAAGTCAAGTCCCTTTTCTAGGCCTCAGCTGCTTTAGCTCTATGACGAAAGGCACAGCCTACAGTGTTCCCAAGGGCCATTCGGTTCCCAAGTTTTGTGTCTGCGTCTATGAATCTAAATCACTGGAAACAGAGTATGAAACAGACACATATTTGTTGTGGACCTTCAACCCCCAAGACCCTGAGGAAGGGTTTTTCTGAGAAGAGAGCCCTGTGGTTGGAGCCTAAAAGATATTTGTTGGTCAAGATTCTTTTCTTTTAAGCGAGGAAACCCAACATAAACCGCTGAAGGAAAAGAGGGATGGGGAGGCAGGGAGAGAAACGGTAAGTTCACGTAGCTGAGAATTCCACACCAAAAGGCTGAGGCGTAGTTAAATCAAGGGGCTCAAAGATCAAGGTAGTTTCTCTGGCTTCACTTATCTTCTAGCTCCACTTTTCTCTGTTGATAACATCACTCCCAGCACAGTCTCCAGGAGGTGATCACTAGCAGATCTGAGTTTATGGCCAGCAGCATATCAAGCCCAGACAAGAAAGGCCTTCTTTTTTTCTAATAAGTTTAGCAAAACTGTCAATTCAGTCTTTTGTCAGTGTGGTCAGGGTTACAGTCCTATCTCTGAGCAATTCTTGTGGGTGAGACGCCTTCTTCAGTCAAGTCTGAGTCTTATTCCAACACCCTAGAACTTAGAAGCTATAAGGACTAATAAAGGGAATAGGGGAGCTCAGGGAAAACTGGGATGCAGTTTCTGAAACTAGCAATGGATGCTTGAAGATTGAAAATAGCCATTGTTCCTAACAAAGGGTGATAAGGTAGGAGCTCTGCCAAATAATGGAGCCCAGAGTGTGATCTCTATTTCCCTCCCTTGCCTGCAGTGTGTGGTCTCCCCAAGATCTCCCGGACACTGATGGCCAGGATCTTCAATGGACGTCCGGTCCAGAGAGGCACCACCCCCTGGATTGCCATGCTGTCTCACCTGAATGGTCTTCCCTTCTGCGGGGGCTCCCTTCTAGGTAAGGAGAAACTGGCAGTGGTGGGGACCCAGGGGTCGGGAGCAAATGAAACCTTTTTCCTGGTGCTGACCAAGATTTCTTCCATGAGACTCACTGTCCCCACCACTAGTAAAGTCCAAAGCATTCTTAGCTGGAGCCAGGAGGCATGTGTCTCTGTGTTCTGAATTCTCCAACCCACAAACACCTACTGAGTCGGTCTCTGGCACTGGGAAAAATCAGAATCAAGCCCCGAGCAAGAATTACACATAAGGCACTTGCATGTGGCACAAAACTCAGGTGTGTGCCACACCTGGAGAGAAGCAGGAAACTTACCCTGGAGGAGTTACAGGGAAGGGAAACTTACTATCACCTTAAATGCCACTCTTAGAGATTCAGATTTATCCTGAACAAGGCTGCAAGTTTATAAGCATGTTTTAAAAAATTCTCTCCAGGGGCAGCACAGAAAGAGGGTTAATTTGGACACCAGATGTTCAGAAAGGGAGCTTCTATCACAATAGTGGGGAGGGGAGTCTTCTTCCTCTCACTTAGGACTGGGGACTGAGAAATAAAACCGATCCTAAAGCACTGGGAAATAGGATTGTTAGAATTTTATAATAGATTGAATGTGGGTACATGTGGGTGAGTGAGTGGGAAAGTGATTGTTGCAGGGCAGGGAGAGGGGCAACCCAGACCCCGCAAACCTGCTCTAAATAGGTTCTGCCATTCACCGCATCAGCACAATACATATGAGACTTTAATGGAAAGCAACTTTAATGCAATTAGGAAACAATACAGGAAAGGCAAAGAATATAGTTTCTAAATCAAGCACCCAAAGTTACCTGTCCCCTCGTGGGTAAAAGTCCACCCAAGCAGAATTGGCCCAAAACAAGGCCCCAAAGCCTGCCCCAAGTCTAAAGCAGCTTCCAGAAAAGTGTCAGAAACACCCAGACAAGTTTGGAGGGAAAAGAGCAAAATCAAAATCAAGAGAAAAACCATCATTGTCACCTCCCCATGGGTCTCTCACCCACCCACCAATTGGCTCGCTCACCTGACTCACCTCCTCCAGAGTATAGT